TTGCTTTGTAGACCAGGCTGGCCTTGAATTCAGAGACCTGCCCACCGAGAGCTGGGAATAAAGGTGTGTACCCCTTATCTGCACGTTTTTGTGTTGTTGTTTCCTTCGAGACAGGGTTTTTTGTGTGCACGTGTGTAGCCTTCGCCATCCTGGAACTCTGTGTAGATCACGCTGGCCTCAAACTCCGCCTGCTTCTGCCTCCTGATGCTGGGATTAAAGGTATGCACCACCACCACCCAGCAAATTTCTGTTTTTGAAGTGAAGTCTTACTAAGTTGCCTAGTCTGGATTTGAGTTTTATTTGCCTCCGTCTTCTAAATTGCTGGGATCACATGCACGGTCACAATCCCCGGCTTCCACCACAGGAATTTGGGGACTGAACCAGGGCCTCACGCACATGAAGCAAGCACTCTCGCTCCCATCCTCAGGCCTCTAGCACTGGGACAGTGAACCAAACCAACCAAGCCAAGCTGTAAGATTATCAAACACATTTTCAACCACCTCTAACTTAAAAGTGATGCTATATTTAAGAAAAAGAAAATTATTAAAATTTAACATTTGTTTATGAGTGTCGTTTGCCAACAGGTTTCACAGAACTCAACGCCTTTACAGAACGAATGGCAGGCAGGAGCACTAGCACTTCCCAAGTACGAGCCAACGTCCTGATTTTTGTTCCACTCTGTTCAAAAAACACACTTGAAGAGACTGTTTTCTAAGATGGGGCAGGTGGTCTCACTATGTATTTCAGATCGGCTTCAAATTCAAAATCCTCCTGCCTCAGCCTTCTAAGCACTGGGCACCCACTGCCCAGTTGAAGTAAGAAAAACACACACACACACACACACACATACACACCCTTTTCCTTAGTATATTCAAATTATTTAATTTTGTCTTGGAATAGACATTTCAGTTTACCAAATGAAACAATCCTTTTCTTGAAAAGCCTGCTCTTTGGTTTACATTTTAGTATAAACCCAAAGTGCTGAGCATTTGAAAGCTTCGAGAAGATGAGGTTTGTCTTGAAACAGGAGAAACCAGATACTGTTTATAACTTACATGAACAAGGGATTCAAAAAGTGATCAGTTTTTGGAGCTGTTTCTCAGTCATCAGAAGCCAGGTTCTAGCTGTGACTGGTGTCCTGCTGATAGGCCCAAATTCCCTTTCTCATCACAACCCTCATAGCTCCACACACATTAATCTTACTATTGTGGAGCAAGGTCCCATCAGCTCTTGATTGTATGTTTGAGAAAGGCCCTTCTTTCAAAAAAAGAATATATATATACACATATATGTATATATATATATATGTGTATATATATATATATATAATTTCCCCAGTAATGGAAAAAAAGCATATTCAGTCCCCAGTATTTGTGTTCTAACTGCCTTATTACAGAGCAAGAGCATGGGGACAGAAGTGAGATAAATACAACACCTAAATCACTATTTACTCGTGGCCGACCAGCCATCACTGATCAAAGACAGCTCTATATACATTTGGAATTCCTGCTCTCCCGGCTGTCCAGAGCCCCAGCTATTTCGGCACTGAGCAACATTAAAACCAGCACTTGCAGGCTGCTCCAAGGCGACTTTTTTTTATATATATTTATTTATTTATTAACGATTTCTGTCTCTCCCCCACCGCCGCCCCCCCCTTTCCCTCCCCCTCCCCCAATCAAGTCCCCCTCCCTCGTCAGCCCAAAGAGCTATCAGGGTTCCCTGCCCTGTGGGAAGTCCAAGGACCACCCCCCTCCATCCAGGTCTAGTAAGGTGAGCATCCAAGCTGCCTAGGCTCCCACAAAGCCAATAGGTGCAGTAGGATCAAAAACCCATTGTCCAAGGCGACTTTTGCTCTTCACTTCCAGATGGAGCAATTGGCTCAGCTGGGCAAGTGACAACATATTCCAGAGCGAAGCTTTCTGACTAAACTACAGAATGTATGTCTATTTCTTATGTGGAAATCTGAAATGTTATTTCCATAACTGAATGTCATGGGACGTCTTAAAATTATTTCATTGTATAACCAAGTTCTATAAATTTTTCCTTGCACATTGTAGAAACTTCAGTTACATTTGTAAACGAGATGACAGACTTTAAAGGTAAAAAGTATTTTCATTCTCATTTTTTTTTTTCTGGATACAGGGGCTATGCATGTAGCTCAGGTTGGCCTTGAACTCTCTCGATCTTTCTGTCTCCGCCTCTCAAGTGCCCCTGGGACTACACATATGCATCACTACACCAATTTGATTTAGACATTTAATGAGATCAAAGAGGAAATAAAATAAAAAATTATGTTGTATCAAACATGCTAGGCCACTCTAGAAGCCTCAAGTACATTTTAATATTCAAATATTGGTGCTGTAATTCACCAGCAGTAACCCCCTGTCCATTTTGTCATTATTACCAGTTTTCCAAGTTTTATAAGGAATCAATAGGAAGCAAGTCTATTAATATTCATCCCCCTGCTGGGCATGGTGGCGCACACCTTTAATCCCAGAACTCGGAGGCAGAGGCAGGGGATCTCTGAGTTGGAGGCCAGTCTGGTCTACAGAGTGAATTCCAGGACAGGCTCCAAAAGTTATAGAGAAACCCTGCTCAAAAACCAAAAGCACCCGGGGATCCTTTCTGGTCTCAACAGTTACACAATTTTGTTTTGTGAGCCGTATCTAAAGTTCATACATTAGTACCTCAGAAGAGTACTCATCTATGTTTAGTGTAATCATGACCTATTTTTTTAATTAAAAATGAGGCCACTGAAAAAAAAATGCAATGACTTTGAATTTCCCTATGCCAATTCTCTAGACCAAACCATTAAAGAACAAATTGGCAGGGAAGATGGTCGAGATACATATCCCCACTACCCCAAACATGGCTGTGCAGACACCAGCACTCAGTGAGCTTTAAGATAATCCAGCCAGCTGCCCCCAAATCAAAAGAAATGAAATGTCTTACAACAGGATCCTAACTCAATTTTAAGATGCAAAAAAAAAAAAGACTAGATTTTTATTGAGATGGTAACCACCATAGCCTAGGCCGGCCTCAAACTTGCAGCAATCCTCCTGCTCTAACCCTTCCAAGTTTTGGAATTTCAAGCCCACGTTACCACGCCCTGCTGGGGAGACTTCTAATACAAGTGGAAAACAATGTCCAGACCAATTAAAGCTGTTCCGCATTTAAGACACCCCAAGTCATCTTTCAACCCGTACCGTGCATTCAGTTGTTATGGGTCACTAAGTCAGGCCCTAAAATAAACAGAAAGGCTTTTCAGCTCAATTCATAAGCCAATCAAGGTCATGGGCTGGCTCTTCATGGGGATCTACCACAACACCTATGTGCAGTTCTTACTGCGAAAAGGAACTCTCAAATGCTTGCTCATGGCTTTTTTGTAGGAAAGAGGCAAGTTTTCCCGTGGCCAAACAAGAAACGGTGCTGCTGCTGAGCTCAATTTTGCAATCTACTCCAAACTTTGAATCTCAAATCAACACTGAGACTTTAAACAGGGCACGCATACCAAACTCACCCAACACTTTACATCTCAGCTCTTCTGGTTTCTTTTTAGAGACAGGGTTTCACTAGGGAGCTCTGGCTGTCCTGGAACTCACTATGTAGAGCAGGCTGGCCTCAAACTCAGAGATCCACTTGCCTCTACCTCCCGGGTGCTGGGATGGAAGGCGTGTGCTACCACTGCCTGGCTTTTTTATCCCATTTTAAACCTTGGTTTTCCAGTGGATAATTCTGGTATGACACTTTTTTAAAAAGCCGAAATAGCTGAGGATATAGGTCATTGGTAGAGCATCTGCCTACTTCAGTGCAAGACCCTGGTTCAAGCTCCAGTAGCACAATATAAACAGTGGAATACACAAAGGAACCAGTCACAACTTAAAACCTCCAAACATTTTGTCAAGATAAAACTATAAAATAAGGCATTGCAAGTTTTTATAAAAACCACTCAAAACCATTGTTATAATGTATTATGTCTTGCTACAGTATACTTGTAAATTGCTTTTCTGGTGGATAGGAAATGTGAATTGACTTTTTTTTTTTTATCTTAATTCCTAAATTCTCTGCATATTCATTTGGTCATACACAAGACTTTTGACTAGCCTGGCAAAAATAAGTTACTTAAATCCTTACCAGCCAATGGAAGCTGTGCCACTGAGTTACTAAAGAGCAGATTTAATATATAAACACAAAGGTGAGCCATCTTTTTCCTAGGTCGGGAATGTAAACAGAAGTTCACCACAGTTGTCTGTGTAGAGTTATTTATTAATTGTTCCACAATAGTACTAAAGTTCAAAACAAACCAAAGTACCACAATTAGTCTGAACCGAAAGAATGACAAAGAAGAACGAATTTCCAAAGATCCCCTTTGCCCTCTGGATCAACTGCCTACTAAAACTGTGCTAACGTTTCCATTTCCCTTGCTCCTTCCAAACTTGTTCCTTTTCCTCTAGACTTTAAGAACTGTCCCTTAATACTCAACCCTTACCCATTCTTCTCTTACTTTCTAAAAACAGAAAAGAAAAAAAAAACCCTCACAAATCTTCTCCCTGGGTGTATAAGGTTTAAATCATCAACTTTCCCTTATTTATTTATGCTTCCCAAGAATGACCCATTTCAAAATATAGCATATAAAAATATTTTCATGTTTTATCTGGCACAGTACACTTCAGCCCAGCTAGTCACACGTGGGCTGAGTATAATCTTACTCCTGATCCATACATAAAAAGGCATGGGCCGGTGTGCTTGCCTGCACATCTGCCAGCACATAACCAGAACCTGCTTTTGAACCGCTAAGAACTTCCAAAATTGGCTAATGATTATATTGCTACCATTTCTGTTGGTAGAAACACTGTCAAAGCCCAAGCACCCGCAAGGTGAGAAAGGGTGCACAGAACTCCAAGTTCTACACGCGTGCTCTTTGACTGGCCTTATAGAACCTCAGTGTTTCCCACAGACGGTGAGGAAATGAGCTGCAGAGGAAGAAATTTAGAACTGGATACATTTCAGGCATTAATCTTTTATTTGTACAATAAATTTCAGAATATAGGCATCTTCTAAGGAAGGAATTCTTAATAGGTGTCCATATGTAAGATGTAAGATATGTGCTTGTTGACTGACTTGCAAACTATTTTGTGTAGATGTACTTCCACTAATGTGCAGTCAGGGAGGCTCTGAGTCTATCAAGTGCCCAATCTGTGAACCCCAAACTCTTAGACAGTATTTCACTGCATAAGCTAGAAAGTTAGTAATTTAGAATCCTTCCAGGCCAGCCTAGTCTACGGAGTTCCGGGCCAGCCAGGGCTACACAGAGAAACCCTGTCTCAAAAGACAAAACAAAAATTAGAACCTACGCCAGCCAGTCACACTTAAATATATTTTGAAGCAAAACAAAAAGCAAAGCAGAATTTTAAAAGTATGTGATCTCATAAAGGCAATGTCTTGATTAAAACTAAGTAGTCTCAAATTCCCTATTTTTTTTTTAAATCAAGGGTAAGACAACAGAATCCCAAGGCGCTATCTTTAATGCTGTGCATTCCAAGTAATAAATTAAGGACATAAAAAATAACATAATTCCCCTAAAAATCCATCAGGAACTCTAGCATCTCAGAGGGCACAAGCAGATAATCAGCTGCCCAGACCCCGACACCGCGGAGAGCAGCTCCAGCAGCTAGAGACCCATCTCAGTACAGTCCTGCCCTGTGTCCTGAGAACTAGCTAGAGTTGGTCTGTATCTGCCGAGACCATGAAGACCATGAAATGCAGAAAATGATAGCCTTTGGAATGTTTTACTCTAAAAATAGTTTGTAGTTAAGATTTCTTTTTCCCCTTCTCTCTTCAGGGAAGTTCTGTTCAACAAGAACCTATGAGTTTAGAGGCTAAGGTTTATACATAAGGTTAGCAACTCAAATAGTCACCCAGTCAGGCTTAAAAGTCACTAAACCTAATTATAAAATGCTGATTATCAGGGATGAAAACAATATTAAAGTGGACAAGAACGTCTGTCTAATGTTAGTGCAATACATGAAATCTGAGGTAGATATTTGTATGCTTGCAATACTTAAAAATTTAAGCACATTCTGTTGTCATAAAATTACCTCAAATTACTGATCAGTAACTGCTGAAGAGCAGTCCCCACTGTATACGAATCTCAACAGAAACCCACCGCAGTACTCACCACCTTACACCTAATGCCTCTCTTCGAGACACGGTCTCATGTAGCTCAGGCTGGCCTCAGACTTCATCAGGTAGCCAGAGATGACCCTTAACTTCTTATCCATCTGCCTCCACCTCCCCAGTGTTCATCAGGCAGAGCTGGCTAACTCAGTTTGAGGGATAAAACCCAGGGGCCTTGTGCATGCTGGGAAGAACTCTATCATCTGAACTACCTATATTCCTAGCCATACATGGTCTCATGCCTTAAAAACAAAATCCGTTGACTAAAATAATATCTGTATATATTCCATAAAAGGAAAACAAAAAGGCAGGTAAGCGGGTTTTAAAATTCTTATCTGTTTGAGCAAAAACAAGCTCTTCAGGGAATCAAGTAACTGCAGTCATCTTAGACTGAGTGAAACTTCCTTCTGTTTAGTACTTGACTCCAAGAAACAGTGTGGGAGTAACTATGGCAAAACAAACTATCCTGCCTTCTAATCGCAAAGGTCCATGCTTACCTTTACTATGATATATGATACGATACTTACGTATCATCACACACATACGCACAGCCTCAGAGCATTCTACTACCCTTCAGTATGCTCACTCCTAGTCCGTCAATATCCCTGCCACTAAACCTACAGTTTTCTAAACACCTCAAAAGACGTGCAACTTTTTCTTTTAGACAAGGTCCCATTGTGGCCCTGGCTGGCCTGAAACTGTTTGTAGACCAGTCTGGTTGTAACTGCCTCTGCCTCCCCAGTGCTGGGACTAAGGGCATGGTCACCATAGTCAGTTTCTTTTATCATTTAAAGTTAGTATTTACTTCAAATACCTTTACTGCATCTTCTATATTACAATTTCACCTTTTCCTTCTAATACCTACGCTCTCAATTTCTTGACATGTTAGCTGCAATTTAGCTTTTTTCTTACTAAAAATGCTGAAGACCATTTTAATCCATCATTCTGTAATTTTATTATAACCCTTTGAGGCAAAAGGATATATAACACCTTGAGCCAAAATATTGCGTTATGATTTTAAATAAAGCCTCAATAAATATCTCCCTAGGATAATATTTAGGATGGTTAAACTAGTATCAATATAGTATTAATTTACATATTAGATTTCTATTCCTTATATTATTGTGCACCTCAAACAAAATAGTCAATGCATTTTCATATAAACCTAGAAAGACAAAATACATTAAAAATACAATAAAAATGCAAGCTCCTAACTTACAATTTATACCATTAATGCGACTAGTTTATGAAATGTAATCCACAGAAAACTGAAAAATATGACTAAGTGATATCTCCTTTCTTCAATTTTGTGATTAACAGGACTTTTATTGGTAGTAAACTAGAGCAAACAATCAGAATAATACATATGTAGTATTCAGTACACACAATAAAAGTTAAAGAAATTCAAAACCTGTATAAAACAAAAGCGAGCGAGAGAGAAATCATACAGCTTAAGAGATACAGGGGTAAAGGTCCTCGCCATCCTTTGATCACACTTGTCTCTGTACCCAATAGAACTTACTGCACTTAATAAGACATACAGACATTTTAGTACTGAGTGTATTAAAAGAATTAAACACATTTTCTAAGAATCTTTCAATGACAAGTTGGTACCCTTTAGCTAACTAAAGCCAAAGGAAGGTGGGAAAAGGGAATTAACTAGTATTTTGTAACCATTTTTTAATAATTTCTTATTTTCAAAACACTGCTTTTATAACAGAAGTGTTTTACACTTGCACAATATTAATTACTTTATTATACACGGAAGCCTGTGGTAGGCTGATTACACAATAAGACTGCAAACAACCAGTGGTACTTTTCTGACGTCAGAAGAGTTCATAAGACTGAAACATCACCAAAAGTACATAAAAAACTCATCAGCATAAACATCAAAGTACATTAAAAAATATAATCAGGAAAAAAATACAATTGCTAAAAAGTGGTTTAGAGCAGAGCCACTGCCTATCAGTAGCTTCAAATGGCAATTAGCGTTCATAGCAAGTTTTGATGACTTTACAAGATCCCTGTACAATACTGACTAATACACCCCTTCAAAATGTACATTAAAGGCTGCAATCTCACAAAGAGTTCTGATGTCACTAGTAAATATATACTCTTATCTGTTACACAAGCTATGTTACCAGGTGGAATTACAACCCTTTAATATCTATAGCTTGTACATGGAAATCTGTATTGGGCTTGTTTTCTTAAAAAAAAAAAGGTGAATAAACTAAATACTATTGTTTAGTATTTAGATGCCATAAGACATATAAAATGCATAATCAACCATCTACTAGATGACAAATCACTCTAAAATTGAAACCATCACGACAGGGAGAAGGAACAAGAAGGCCTAGAACTTTAAGAGGAAGTTAAGAATAAGTACCAAAAAACCAGAAGTGAAGGTGGTACGTAATAGCACAAGTGAGAGAATGCTTTTAGGCCATGTATAATGAATAATGCATACCCCTAATTTCAATGTATTACGCGAATCCAACTTACTTTCTAATACTGAAACCAACCAACCACTTGGGTTTTAACACTGTGCTAGACATTAACAGAATCACTTAATGGAATTACAGCCTTGTTATAGTTGGATAAGGAGGGTGCTTCCCCCCCCCCCCCTTTCTTTTATTAAAGCTATCATTCCAGGCTTTGATCAAAGATCCAAGAATATTTGCTCTACCAAGCTGGAATGAACATGGGTTTGGAAGTTTGGAGTACATTTAAAAGCTGCAACAAAATATAGGTAGCCAACAATCTCAGAATTTTGGATCAGCCCAGACAGAGATAGCATTTGAAATGTTTTCGATCCCTTACTTAAATGATGAAATGTATATTCTATCAGCCCGGAAGGAGAAATCTGAAATGTTTAAGATCCCTTAACTTAAACAGTGAAATGTGTATCATACTATTTGTAAATTGGATATTCCATTACGGTGATAACGTACAGAATTCCCATGCGTTATTACACTTTCCTGAGAGTAAAGCAATTAGAATAACCTTAATCCTAGCAACAAAGTTTTTTTTTTCTTTTTTCTTTTCTTTTTTTTTTCCTGTAGTTTTTGTTTTTTTTTTGTTTTTTTTGCATTTAAAACTTTTGGGCTATTCCCTGACAATCTATACATGTAAATTTGATTGCTAAACATTGTCACTTTGAATGTCAAACTATTTTTAATCTATTGATTTTGATTAAAAATCATAATACAAACAGCTAAAATCACACTAACAAAATAAACTAAATATGAAAAGTTGCATTGAAAGGGCATTACATTATTCTTAATAGGATCGTGTAGAAACATTCCAATGGCAGTGTTCTCAAAATAAAACAAAATTACATTAGAAGACTCCCAGCCTGGTCACTCTTGAGACCTTACCTGTAACTCTGGCTGGTGGGTGTCTTTACTCTTGTACTACATGGCTCACTTACATCAGACATCATATTTGTATACCCTGAGAAATCTGACACTGAAGTCCTTACTCTATGGTCCACTTCTCCATTAGAGTTAGTGATAAAGGTCATTGGCACCCTGCTGCCCGACTTAAACTGAGAACCAAATGCTTGTGCAAAGTTCTCAATCTGGTACGTTGTTCTAGGCTCTATGTCTTTCTGAGGATCGATCTGGCTAGCTAACTCCTGAGATGGAATCTGAAAGCTTGTTGAGGACTCTAAATTTTTCTGTTGTTCCTTCTGGCTAGACAATTTCTGAGATGTGGACTGGAAGGCTGATGATGTCTCTAAGTTCTTCTGAGAATCTATCAGATCATCCAGCTCCTGGGAAGGTGTCAACTGCTGATGTGTAGCATCCAAAGCAGATAAATAAAGACCTGGTTGAGATCCAAACAACATCCCAAAAGGAGGCTTTGGCAATGAAGATGGCAACACTGAGGTAACAGATTGGCCAAAACCACACTCCAAAGGAGATGTAGTGTATATCTGTTTTTCTGGAAACAAAGTGTGGTTGTGGAGAGGTGAAGACAAACTGACAAATTGGAAACCGTGTCCAAGAGTAAAACTTGCGTTAGTGGATTTTTCAAAAGCCTGTTGGAGGTATTTGGAGTATTCTTGTAACATGCTTGTTTTATCATTTGAAGGTGTTTGGGTGCCTGGGCTCAGATTTTCTTCTTGAACCAATTCTGAGTGTTCTGAGGTGTGTAAATCCACTCGTGGCTCTGTTAAACTGAAGGGATCCTCCTTCTGCGTTTCTGATTTGCTGGAATACTGATCCAAAATACTTTGTAAAACCTCATCAGGAATTCCAGACTTGTCATGACAAGACTTAATTTCAGCATTTAGAGCTGAGGAGTCAATAAGTGACAATGGGGCCTCATTGTCCAAAACACTGACACCTGCAGACTGAATGACTGACTGTTGGGAGACCATGTGTCCTACGTTTATAGAAAAGGCACTGTTGCTGCTGGCAGTTGGTAAGTATCTTCTCTTCTTTGAAAACTGCATGGCATCATCATAATTACTACTTATCTGACCTTGTTTGCCACTTGTACTCTGGAGAAGACCAATGGTCTCCACACTATTATTCGAGACTATGCCAAGTGAGCCACTTGGTTTACCAGACAAGGATTTCTGCCCAACTACATCTGGTAGTGGAGACACAAAATTAAGGTAGCTTTTATCTGTATTCTTTCTGCTTCCTTTCTTAAAGATCAATTTTGGCACCCTTTTCTGTAGTTCATCGATTCCCGTGCCAATTATGCCTCCACTGGTAGACACCGTGGGCATTTCTACTGAATAACTCTGCATGTTTATATTGTTTGACATTTGTGAGTCATTTGTTTTGCCAGTCTTGTGTTCCTTATTTTCAATAGCTATGCTTTTTGACTTCGATTTTCTCCTTGAAGAACTTGTATTTCCCTGAGACAGCACAGCCAGACTACCCATATTACTATGGTTGGATGACCCAGATTCTGCACTAGCGGCCCCTTTTGCTATGGCTTCACCACACGTGCGCCTGTGCTTCAGCAATCTGTCAGTCCTTGAAAAATACTGTTGGCAAGTGTCACACTTATATGGCTTTTCTCCACTATGCGTCCTCTTGTGTCTCTCCATATGGTACTTCTGAATAAACTTCATGCTGCACTGATCACACCCAAAGGGTTTCTCTCTACTGTGAATTTTCTCGTGTCTCTGCAGTAGGTATTTCTGAATGAAACCCATACTACACTGGCTGCACTGGAAAGGCCTTTCTCCCGTGTGAATGAGGACGTGTCTCCGCAGGTGATAGGAGCTCCGGAAAGCAGCGCTACAGTGATCACAGATATGAGGTTTCTGACTTGGGGAGAGGACGGCACCTTCTCCATCTCCAACCAACGGTTTGGAAGATGCACTTGGCTTCCTCTTGGCTTTGATTCCCTGAGATTCTGGCTTTGGCCTCTTTGCCTTTTTGACGTTAGTGTCCTGCTTTGGCTCCTCGGTGCCATGGTCATCAGTCCTGCTACCGCTGCTCAATAATACATCACGGTGGTGCTGGGCTGGTTGCTGCTGGACATGCTGGTGGAGAATACTGAGGTCTTGGATGACGCCGTGGCTCCCCCCTTCCCCGCCTCCTAGGCCCGGTGATCTCTCTTCGGCCCCAGCGAACAGCCCCCCATAGTGGTGGTGGTGGTGGTGGTGGGACTGCTGCTCCTCGGGGTCCGCGGGTTTCTCCTGTTTGATGCTCACCAAGGACTGCAAGAATCCCCAGGAGGTCCTCTGCGAAGGGAAGGCCGCGGCTGACGCCGCCGGCTCCTTCTTGAAAGTCATGTCCGGGGCTGGCGGAGGGGGGGGCTCTGCGGCCGGGGCTGCGGAGGTAGAGGAGGATAACACGCACTGCGGGGGAGGGGCGGCCGTCCCCGCCGGCCGGGTGAAGCTGGTGACCGGGGGGAGCCGGTGGTTGAACATAACCATACCCTGGGGAAAGGTGTGCTCCATCTCTGCTCTCCTGCCGCCGCCGCCGCCGGAGCTGCCGCCGGAGCCGCTACCACCGCTACTGCCGGGACCGCCGCCGCCGCTGAGGAACCCGCTGCCGATTTTCATACCCCGGAGGAGGCCTGGCTGCGGAGAGGAGGGAGAGGAGGGAAGAGGGGGAACCGCGGTAGGGCCGGGCCCCGGGCCGGGACCACCGCAGCGTTTGGGACCCGCCGCGCCGCCGCCCAGCCCGCACCGCGCCCGGAGCCCGTCCGCAGCCCCGCTGCCTCCGGCTCGGCACGCTCAGCCCCGCGGCCTTCCTAGCCGCCCCCGCGCCCGACCCGGCCCGCCGGCCACACTTACGGGTTCCGCCACCGCCGCAGCCGCCGTCGCCTCCAGTTAATAAAAATAACGCCGTCCTCTCCACAATGGAATTAAAAGCCTCCCCGCTTCTGCGCAGCCGCGGCGCGGTGTCTGCCGGGAACTCCTCGACCGGACCAGAGGGGAGCTCTACGGGCTCAGTGCGCCTGCGCCGCAGTTTCCGCCTGGCCGGCGTGTCAATCAAGGGGGCGGTTGGGCGGAGCTGCTGGGGGCTGGGCGGGAGGGGCGGGGACTTAGAGCCCGACGGCGGAGGGGCTTCCGCAGCGGGGGGACGTGATTGGTGGCTGCGTCAAGGGGCACAAAGTGGCTGAGGGTTTCTGGGGGAAAAGACGCTCTGGAGGTGGAACCCGAGGGGCGGGAAGTCGGGGGACGCCTGTTGAGGGTGTTGCAGCGTGGCGTGGGAGCCGCAGAGAAAGGGGTTTGCAGAAAGTGGAGAAACTGAGGACTGAACTTTGGCATTTTCTTCCCTTAAGGGTTTGCGATCTAGGTCTGAATCAAAATCAGGCCTAGAAAAGGAGTCCTTGAGGCACACGTGATTCTGTCTGAAAGCATTATCCTCGTGATAGCATTGATTACAGATACCTGTTACTCCATCCTATCAAATGGGGCGTAATAACGCGAGCCCTTGCCTCTACTGGGGAGGAGCCTTTGAGGTACCGTTGAAAAAAATTGTCTCACTGCCAACCTACCTGAAGGCTACAGCAAAGGGAAACCACGTGTAATCCCAGGTGCGGCCATCCTGTAAAACACGCCCACGCATACTTCATCAGCAGGTGGTATTTAAATGCCATATACTTTCCCAGTCGTCTGAGTTTGCTTGCCGCGTTGGTTGCTCTCTAGCCTCATTTGAAAATTTTGACCATCATTATTTTCTAAGCTCTCTGCCAGGATACAAACCCCACCCTCCCGACCCTTTCAGTACAGAATGCCGAGAGGCTCATGCAAAATTATTCATTTGGGGAAATTATTCAATAGGGCAAAATTAGGTAAAAGCTTGAAATTAAAGTTCAATAAGCCTGGCGGCGGTGGGGCACACCATTAATCTCAGCAGTCGGGAGGCAGAGTCAGGCAGATCTCTGAAGTCAAGGCCAGTCTGGTCTACTAAGCGAGTTCCAGGACAGCCAGAGCTGTTACACAGAGAAACCCTGTCTAGAAAAATCAAAACAGCAAAAAAGTTCTACCAACAAAACCAAATAATTACTTATTAGTGCCTAATAATGTATAAAAAGCACTCACTTTCATCTACACCAGCATCTTTCCTGGGAGTATTTATACATCCCTGACATTCTTGTAACTTTTTTTTTTTTTTTGAGACAGTGTTTCTCTGTAGCTTTGGAGCCTGTTCTGGAACACATTCTGTAGACCAGGTTGGCCTCAAACTCACAGGGTTCCACTTGCTTCTGCCTCCCAAGTGCTGTATTTAAAGGCGTGCACCACCACCACTACCCGGTTGTGTGTTTTCTTAAAGAAATTACATGTCCGTTTTTTCATGGTGTTTCGCCAAATGACTTCTTGTAATTAAATATCTTCTCTGAGAATTTTCACAATTAAAACCATAAAGACCGTTACTTACTAACACTGGCCTCTCTGAGTCTGCCTGGAAAAGTTAAGAACTGTATTTTATGGGTTGTTTGATGAGGCATTGTACCTTTCTAACCCCATGCAACTGCATTTAAGGATTTCCCGAAACTGTCAAGTATAGCTAAGTATTAAACACTGGAAATTCAAAAACTTCAGGCAGTAATAAACTATCAGTCAGTGCCAGTGAGAAATGAGGCTGTCCCTTTATTCAGGGTGCCAGTGTTTTTAATAGTAAGCTGGGATGCATATAAGCTAGTCCAAGCATGAAGGGCAGCAGGACACTCAGATGAAAAGCCAGCTTTGTCCCTCCGTTATCAAGATAAGAAACCTGTCATTTCTCTCATTCACTGTCAGCCTTGAGCTACTCCTAGCAGACTTACCTCTGGGTTGTACACCCCATCTATCAAGAAGATGAAAAGACCCTGTAAAACAAAATGGAGGGGGAAAGCTGTTAGCGCTAATCATTCCAGCAGTAGAAATGCCTGAAATAAACTTTCCTGGGAACAGACCAAAGAAGACACACTTCATCAAGGGCGATTTAGTTTCCCGTTTTTCACCATTAGAAGCTGCACCTTGAGCATTTATATGACAGCACACCAGCACATCGCTTACACTGGTCGTGCTCGTCAATTCTTTAGAGAGAGAAAAGAAAAAGAGCATCCAACTACATAGAATTGTCATTAGGAAAATCAGTATATCAGTATATCAGTTTCTGGAAGGTGATAAAAAAAAATTAAAGTCAGGATATTATCAAAGTCAAATCAGAACTAGCACTAGACATTAATATTTCTAATCACTGTTTGAGGCCGCGACAACTTTAGTATATTTGTCAAAATCTTTGATGCTTATAGCTGGAAAATAATTGAAAGATTAAAACACTGGGGGTTAGGAGCATAGTTCAGTGGGTCTGTGGTTGCCTGCTGTACATAAGGCTATGGGCTACCAGGAAAAGTAGCCAGCCTCCTTCGAACCCTCAGAACTAATGAGATCAGCTTAGATAGTGGGGCTGTAGATGGAGTTCAGCAGTTAAGAGCACCTGTTGCTCTCGCAGAGGTCCTGCAGGCATGCACATGGAGCACACACATGGATGCAGGCAAAAAGTCATACACTTGAGGTGAATAAATCCTCCAAAGAAGACCATCAGTGTGAATTGTCTGTCTGTTTTGAAACAGTCTCATTGTATAGTCAAGGCTGGCCTAAAACTCCTGTTCTTTCTGCATCTGCCTCCCAAGCACTGAAATCACACCCAGAAGTATGAATACTTTTTAAAATAACACTTAAATTTTAAAAAGATTTCATTTGTTTGAGACAAGATTTCTCTATGTAGTCCAGATTGTTCTAGAACTCACAGAGATCCGCCTGCCTCTGTCTTCTGAGTGCTGGGATTAAAGGAAGACATGCTTCACCATGCGTGTCTAAATATCACCTGAAACTCTCAGGCCAGGAGTTGTGGTGCACGCCTTTAACCACAGCACTGAGGACACAGAGACAGGCAGATCTCTGTGAGTTCAAAGGTAGGCTGCATAGTGAGTCCAAGGCCTGCTAGCACTGTGCAGTGAAACTGTCTCAAACCAGACAAAAAACCTAAACATTTTAATCTATAAAGGTGAACAAAACTAATCTGCAAGCAAGATGGTTCTGCAGGTAAAGGCGCACTAGCTAGTAACCTGTCTTCCACCATTAATTCCCTTTGCAATCATATGTATATGAGTGTGTGTGTATACACATATTTTACTGGGTATGTGTGTGCCACAGTGGCATGTGATGTGACAGCTGGAGGCAGTTCTCTCCTTGTACCACGTGGCTTTTATGAGTCAGTCTCAGGTCGTCGGGCTTATGACCAAGAATCTTTATCCACTGAGTCAAGTCACTAGGCCCAGGTCACTCAAATTTTATTGATGAAGTAGGACTATTTTTCTTTGTGCAGCAAATTAATTTCTCAGTCAAACCAATCTTCTTGGATGTTACATAATCCACATGATGATGTCTGAATTAGAAACTCAGCTGTTTAGATAAAATCTATAGTTTGAAAATCAAATAATTCTTCTATGACCATTCATATAATTTATGGTGTTTTTTTTTTGTTGTTTTTTTTTTTTGTTTTTTTTGGTTTTTCGGGATAGGGTTTCTCTGTAGCTTTGAAGCTTGTCCTGGAACTAGCACCTGTAGTCCAGGCTGGCCTCAAATTCACAGAGATCCACCTACCTCTGCCTCCTGAGTGCTCGGATTAAAGGCATGCACCGCCACTGCCCGGCTTATATGTAATTTTTTAAGGTTAGTTTTTTTCTAAAGGAAGGGTTAAGAGAAGATCATGTTTTCCCTCATGTCCTGGTAAACTGGGCAGAATATGAGGACAGCCCAGAGTTCTTCACTGCGCTCTGTCTCTGTTACCTGTTTTAAATCGTAATGTAGTTAACCCTCTCCTCTTTGAAAACAGGATGTAAACTGAAAATGGATTTTGAATACAGGAAGTTCCAATCTCAGCTTTTCTTTTTCTCTTTGGCTATTCTTCCACTCGACAGACTACACATTCCGAGAAGACCCCATCTGTGACTTCGACAGACCGCCAACAAGTCTGAAATTCACGCCAGGGGTTCTGCGGCTCTCTTGAGGCATCTCCCTGATGCTGTTATGGCAGTGGGGCAGTGTAACACTGAAAATAGTCCTCATCTGTGTGTAGTCCCCACACAGGCGGAATGTTCCCCACAACGTTAGCAGCTCCTGGAGTTCCGGTTGTGTGCTGACATCTAACTGTGCAGATTTCATAAACCCCAGTGCTGCAAACGCATCTCTTCTCCGTGGATGGAACCAAACAGGAACATCTGGACATCAGCATCTGGAGTCATAGTGATTAGCTGCATTTTCACCTGGCAGAGAAAAATACCTTTAAGAACAGCTGGAGGGAACCAACTGCCATCTAAACTGGCACTGAGATCTCTCAAATTCCCCCACCAACATTGTGTCTTACAATACAGTGCCACATTTCCAGGGTGAAAGAGCCCTCACACCTGAAGAGTGCCTCCTGCCAGGAAATCCAATAGTGTGTCCATCCAGTGTCCAGATGTGCCAAGACATAAATAACTTATTAAATGCATTAACCTATAGATTTACTAGTTCCCTCGGCATTTTAGTGACAAGAATTGAGTGACAGGAAGCACCCAAAGTGTAGCCAGATTCCTGTGAGCAGGTGTGTACCTTGTGAGTAGGAGCCATCTGATACTGTACAGGCGCTAAATATAGCGCTGTAAGGGAAAGGGGAAAAACACACCGTCTCTTTCTCACTTAGCTGTGACGCGCTGGGAAGCCAGGCAGCTCTGTTCTTGTTTTCACGGTTGCAGAAGGCTGCTGGGCCACGGCTGTAATAGTCAGTGACTCATGGGAGTCTGTGATTTTATTTTTCTTTATTTCCCTGTGCTTCTGTGGTCCATTTCAGGACTATTGCAAAACCAGTATCTCTGAAGTGATAAGACATTCTTTCTGGGCGACACAAACAACAGGGTGGTGGCCCTGCGTGTGTTCAGTGTGTAACATAAATAATGCTAATGTATGGATAGCTTTCTCCTTGCACTTGGATTTACATAATTCTGTTTGTTACTCCTAACTACCATACTGCCAAGTGGGCGGCACAAGCACTGCTAACTTAATTTATGAAAGGAGGAGGCTTTGAGGCTCGCTCCAGGTATCACAACACTGACAGGTTGGCAGAGCCTTTGCCTCCTTATGTAAGGCTCTTTCCGTGCCTTAAATAGACCCGTCCACGGTTTTAAGTCACCAGCTTCAAAGGAATGCAATTGGTGGGACCCTTAAAATTTAGGTTTGTGGAGTTGGGGGTGTAGCTGAGTCAGTACAGTGAACACGGACAAAGCCCTGGATTTGACCTCCAGCACCTCACAAGACCAGATGTGATGGAACAGGCTTGTAATTCCAGCACTCGGGAGATGGAGGCAAGAGGACCAGAAGCTAAGGCTATTCTTTGAGGCCAGCTTTGGCTACATGAGATTCTGTCTCAAAATAAAATAAAAATTATAAAACATAAAACATAAATAAATAAATATCAGGTTTACCAAAAGGATATTATAGCTGGATGTATTGGCTCATGCCTATAATCCCAACATTCAGAGGGGGCTGGAGGTTCCCAAGCTGTGT